CCTAAATCCAGCCCTAATTCTGAAATAGGAACCAGTGAAGCACGGCCGGAAAATGTGGGATTGGGTCCCGAAATTCTGATGGAAATCCTAAATCAATCCCAAATTCTGAAATAATTCATTGTAAGAACCAGCGCAGCACGGCCGGGAAGTCGTAGCCTGGGGGGAAATGTGGGGTTGGATCCCGAAATTCGGATGGAAATCCTAAATCCAGCCCTAATTCTGAAATAATCCAACCCAAGAACCAGCACAGCATGGCTGGAAAACGTGGGGTTAGATCCCAAAATTCGGATGGAAATCCAAAATCCAGCCGTAATTCTGAAATAATTCTGAAATCATTCATTTTAAGAACCAGCGCAGCACGGCCGGGAAGTCGTAGCCTGGGAGACAAGTGTGGGGTTGGATCCCAAAATTCGGATGGAAATCCTAAATCCAGCCCTAAATCTGTCCCAAATCCAGCCCTAATTCTGAAATAATTCTGAAATAATTCATTGTAAGAACCAGCGCAGCACGGCCGGGAAGTCGTAGCCTGGAAACAAGTGTGGGAATGGATCCCGAAATTCGGATGGAAATCCTAAATCAATCCCAAATCCTGAAATAGGAACCGGCGCAGCACGGCTGGGAAGTCGTAGGTTGGAAAAAAAATATGGGATTGGATCCCGAAATTCAGATGGAAATCCAAAATCCAGCCCTAATTTTGAAATAGAAACCAGCACAGCATGGCCAGAAAATGTGGGGTTGGATCCCGAAATTCTGATGGAAATCCTAAATCCAACCCAAATTCTGAAATAATTCATTGTAAGAACCAGCGCAGCACGGCCGGGAAGTTGTAGCCTGGAAACAAGTGTGGGAATGGATCCCGAAATTCGGATGGAAATCCTTTTCTCAGCTCACCTTTCACCCCAACTCTAGGGACCCCTCCCCTTTTATCCAGGGATAAAGTTCAGATCCCCCTCCCGGATTTTTGGGACTTTTTTGGTTTTTTCCCGGGTTTTTTCGGCCCCTCCCTAATTCCGGGGACCGCTCCCCAATTCCAGGGACCCCTCCCCAAATTCGGGGACCCCTCCCCAATTTCTCAGCGCCCCTTTCACCCCAGTTCCGGGTCCCCTCCCACGGGATTTTTGGGGATTTTTTGGTTTTTTTCCCGGGTTTCCCCGGGTTTTTCGGCCCCTCCCCAATTCCAGGGACCCCTCCCCAATTCCGGGGACCCCTCCCCAAATTCGGGGTGGCCCCTTACCCCTGCAGACCCTCTGCTTGGCCCCCGCCAGGATCCCGGGGGTGTCGATCAGGGTGATGCTCTCCAGCACCGGATTGTTCAGCGTGGCACAAACGAACCTGGGGGGGCCCGGGGGGGGTTAAAAAAACCCAAAAAAACCCCAAAACAAACCCAAAAAAACCCCCCAAAATATCCCCTAAAATAAAGCCAAAATAAATTTTAAAAAAGGAACCAAAAACCCAAAATAAACCTAAAATAAACCGAAAAAACTCCCCCCAAATAAACACAGAATAAACCCAAAAACCCCCCCCAAAAACCCCAAAATAAACCCAAAAAACCCAACCAAAAAACCAACAAAATAAACCAAAAAAAAACCCCACCCAAAAACCCCAAAAAAACTAAAATAAGCCCCCCAAAAAAACCCTCAAAAAAACCCCAAACAAGCCCAAAAAACCCCAAAAATAAACCCGAAAACCCCAAATTAAACCCCAAATTCCCCCCCCCGGGCGTGGCAGAGGGCGGGCGGAATTCCAGAGGGATGGCTCAGCCCGGGGGGAGGGAAAAGGGAGGGGGGAAAGGGAAAAAATGGAGAAAAATGAGAAAAATGGTAGAAAAAAAAGGAGAAAAAATGGGAGAAAAAAAAAGAGAAAAGTGGGAGAAAAGGAGGAGAAAAAAGGAGGAGAAATTTGGGGGGGGGATCCCAGCAGATCCCAGCAGATCCCAGTCCATCTCCCAGCAGATCCCAGCGGATCCCAGCAGATCCCGCCCCCTCACCGGTTGAGGAAGCCGTTCCCGAAGGCCTCCAGCTGCCGGAAGGGTTTGCTGGGATCCACCACCAGCGCGTTGCCCGGGATCAGCCCCGGCGCCGGGCCGTGCATGACGGCCACGAAGCCGTCGGTGCTGGGCTCGGGGCCCAGGCGCGCGCCCGGCACCGGCGCCTCCAGCAGGTACCGGATCAGGGAGCTCTTCCCGCTCGAGCACTGGCCCAGCACCAGCACCGCCGGCTTGGCCTCGAAGTCGGCGTCGGCCAGCGGCGGCCAGCGCAGCCCGGCGCGCCCGCACAGCTCCTCGGCCGGGAGAAGCTTCGATTTGTAGAGGGACTTCATGGACTCCGTCACCGGGGACACCGCGGCGGGCGCCGGGCGAGGGCGGCGCAGGCGGCGGAACATGGCCCGGGGGACACGGGGGGCGCCGGGGGGTGGGTT